ATTCTTGTAACAATTTTTGTGGTCAGTCGAGAGCAAAAATTTACCGAATCTCGTCTACATCCCTCGTGGATTATCTTAGTCTTGACAAAACATACATCTCAATCACATCCTATACGGATTACTCATAGTCTTAGCTAAATCAGACATTATACACTTACTCTCGTTGCTGCTGGCCATAGTAACAAATCTATACGAATACTTCAGATCTGAGTAATACATCCTTCGCAGGATTAAAAGCACGCTATATACATATAAATATTCATTATCGAGCGGATATGTTTAAAGAGAAACATGTGCGTAACCCGAAATGTTCATCCTAAACCCAAATTACAAATCGCTGGTTCTATCGCAATATGATCATTATCTAGCGGATATGTTTAAAGAAAAACATGTGCGTAATCCAAAATGTTCACCCTAAACTCAACAAAAGAGATGTTGGTCACTACGCGATTCATGTTCGGCTTGGAGCGGATTTGTTAATGAGAACTCGTCTGTAAACCAAAATAATTATCTGAAAACCCAATAATCTGACGATTGGTCTAAACTACATAACGTGTTCGCTTCTTGGAGCAGGCCCGTTGATTGAAGCTTGCCTGTAAACCAAACTCAGAATCACGAAATAAGACCCAACACACGAAACGTTGGTCGCATCGCAAGTCAGAAATCTAAGTTATTTTTGGAGTAGACTTGTTAATGAGAACTCGTCCGTAAACCATAATACTTAGCTTAAACCCAATACACGAGCTATTGATTGCATAAAAAATCTAAGTTATTTTTTGGAGCAAACTTGTTAAAGAGAACTCGTCCGTAAACCATAATACTTAGCCAAAACCCAATATATGAGCTATTAGTCGCATCAAAAATCTAAGTTATTTTTGGAGTGGGCTTGTTAATGAGAACTCGTTCGTAAACCATAATACTTAGCTTAAAACCCAATACACGAGCTACTGGTCCCATCAAAATCTAAGAAACAATCTCGTGAACGACTTAACAGCCTTTCGTGATTTGATATTTTGGTCGACCTACCAGAAGAGAATCACAGAAAACAACATAAACAACAATGTCAAAAGCCGCATCAATAAATTATCCCGCATGATTCTTAGATGCGGGGCAAACACCACAAGATTCAGAGTCATGATCTAAGTGGATAAAGCCGTCCAGGCACAAAAACAAAAACAAGGTTCTAAGTCAAGACCTAAGCAGTCAAAGCCATCTAGGCACTGAAAGAACACCAAGTCTGAAATAAAAGCAAAATAACGATATACAGTTAAGGAGTAGCCTTCTCAGCTCCCTCCTTGGCGACACCCTCTGGGACAACGATAAAGAGTTTCCCGAAACACTCAAACTCGTAGCTAGAATATCAACTTTCTCCTCAACGCAGGATTGAAATCAAAAGTTTGGCTCAGCGTCATCGAAAACTAACTCGGCACCAGACGTCAGACTTACCATCGATATAATCATAATAGTCTTTCTAACTCAAGACACACTTTGGCATAAACGCTTCTCGGCAAAGGAAAAGACCTCGTTAAGGGGAGACCTTGCCAAGTCAGAAGCTCGCCAAAAAGATACCTCGACGAAACCAGCGAGCTCTCTAAGACAAAGCAGGCTACTCTACGAGACCCTTAGCCGAAGCAGGCTCTCAATGTAACCTCGGCAAAGACAAATTTACCTCGACAAGTCCCACTAATTCAACTTTGACAAACGGTTGGAGAAGATCCACACTTGGCGAACACTCGGTTCCCTCTCGGCACACGACGAACTCTAATACAACGAAGTTCTCAACTCATTCTCAGCGGATTTTCAAGGAGACCTCGACATATCCCCAATCAACCTTGGCGAATCTCGATTGACGAATCAACAAAGAAGTTGAGGTGTCACGCCGTAGACAAGCGTCGAGATGTCAAAGAGGAGGCTGAGAGGACGATTCAAAATTCGATTCTATCGGAGTCAAGGTAAGTCAAGATAAGTCATCGGCAACGAGGAGAACTCTCGGCAAACCAAAGCTTGTCCTTGGCAATGGCACGGAAAGTAGTCGGCATAGGGAGATATCTCCGAATCTTGAGGTGCGAGCACAAATCAGTCTTGTCTCTGAGCGATGCTGACTACGAGAAGATGCGGAGCGATAATCCTCGACAACGACGACTTCTCCCCGTCACTTCTTGTCCTCGGCCTATGAGGCTTGAGATGAGTCCTTGGCAGAGTAAAACGGCCGACAACAAGACGAAAAGATGAAAGCTTGGCAAATCAATCTCGGCTAGAAGACCTCGGCATGACAATTCCAGTCAATAATACTCAGCAACAATTGGATCTTGGAGGCGACCTGTAGGTCTCTGGATAAAGAAGTCCTCAGCAAAACTTGAGACTTAGGCACAATGCTGGCTACTACACAAGAATAATGATGCCAAGATGATAAGATGGTGAATAAAAGACAAAGCCGATTACAACGAACCAATTGAACTCGGCGCAAAGAGATCTCGGCATAAGGAGATCTTGGCCTAAGTAGATCTCGGCATAAGGAGACCTCAGCACGAGGAGACCTTGGCACAAAACCTAGTAACTGTGGCAACAAATCGAAGTCGGCGGCAACAAATCAAAGTAGGCAAGATTTCGATTCAACCTCGCCACAAGCTCCGAGTAACCGTGACGCCGACCCCTATACTTCGAGATCATGACTCAAGAGAGACCTCGGCAAAGACACATAAGTGGCAAGATCTCAGCACCATTCACTAGTTTGCCGAGATGTCGAAACAATAAACTTGCCAAAAAACAACCTCAGCACTAACGATATTCGAGAGACCTCGGCAACATGCTACAGAGCTCGGCTTAAAGATGAACAGAAATATCTTTCAGTCAGCTTTTCAACAAAGTTCAATTCATGTCATTCGAAGTTGCGGTGAGCAAAATAAGCTCGATTTACTGAAGACATTCCGAAATGCAAGAATAAACTCGTTCTGCCAAGCTGGAGAGATGGGCTCGGCAAAAAATATCAACTACTCGGAACGAGTTGAAATTTTGAGAAAAGATAGATAACTGAATACACTTTCATCCAAAAGAAGTATGAAGTCATTTGGATCAACGATCAGAAAGTTACGTCAATTATCATGCAGACATGTCAATCTGGTCGAGCTCATTAGCTGCAAAGCGGCGAGTTTGATGAGCTCGAGCTCGTCGCAAAGATGGCTGAGCTCACCGCGGGGAAAATGCCAAATTCTCCATCAAAGACAAGGCCAAGCTTGCCACCGTAAGCGAAGTAACAAACTCAAATCCCACAAACTCAAATCCCACGATGACAAGGTGACGAGTTCAAAGACCACAATGGCACATCCCTGAGTATCGAGTTAACAATGACAAAACGGGTTAGCTCGAAGACTATAAGCTCGACAAGCTTTCACGAGACAAGCTTGAGCTCGGTAATCTTTTGTAAAACAAACTTGAGCTCGATAAGCTTTAACGAAACAAGTTCGAGCTCGATAAGTTTTAACGAAACAAGCTTGAGTTAGGCAAGAAACAAGTTCAGAAAACTTGCAATTCGCAATTTTGATTCCCAGAAGGAATATAATTTTCTACTAAGTATAAGAAATTGTCAAGATAAGCATTTCAAAATATGTAAACTTGGCAATGACGATATACAAAACGATACAAATACTACTCTATAGTCGCATACTCGTACAGTTTCGATAAAACAAGCTTGAGTTCAATTCATAGCAAAACAAAGTATGTGACAAGTTAAGCATTTCTAAACATGTAAGCTTGACAGCAAGACGACAAGTCTCAATAAACACAAGTCTAGCCGAATCAGGAAAACAAATATGAGTCGCGCTGCAACTTCTACGGAGGCATGTTGGTTCGGCAGAATAACAAGGAAAGAAAGTATCTCGACTTGGCACCATTTTAACACGAAGCCAAGTCTAGTAAACGTCGATCTCGTCTTCGATTTCTTCAAGCTTGGCACTCTCCTAACAGACACTACCAAGCTGGGGGGCTAACTATTGGGGTCAAAACTCCCTCCGACGGTTATTCTCCTCAAAATGGCTAAGTATGGAAACTGACAGAAATGAGATAGTGCCGAGTTCACTCTAGAGACCTGGGCAACTTGCCAAAATGACTCATTTCTCCTAACACTGCTGCCTTCTACCTACCACTGCCTTCCCGACATCTTCCGTGCCGACGTCTCTCCTTGCCGACTACTACCTCGCCGACTGCTGACTTGCCAACCATTGCCTCGCCGACTACTAGACGGCCGACGTCGCCACCAGGAGTGCTCGGCAGCTCGCCGACGATGTTATCCTAAAGAGTTAGGCAATGGGCTGAGTATGGCTTAGTTTGCCCACTTGCCCTGTTACGCAGTCGTGGGCCGAGGACCATAAGTCCAAGACGACGAGATGGCAAAGTCAAGCCCAACACGACGAGACCATGTCAAGCGCCGACTATGATAAATAGAAATCCCGACAAATAAGGAAATCTTCCTGAGTTACTTAGTAAAAAACCCTAGCCGACTTTAGACTTGTATATATGCTCTTGTATTCCCCTTGAGAAAAAGATCCGCAGCTTTATGCAGAAACACTTAGCACAAAATCAAAAAAGCAATCTTAACGCTATTTTCGTGTTTTTATCTTTGTTCTTGATTGTTCTTGTGATTCTATCCCAGAGATCTCGTTTCCCTTAAAAACCCTTGACAAATTCAATTGAGTTGGTTTCGATCTCCACAAATGTGTAAAAAATTGTCCCAAACAAATAGGTCGTATATCGCACTATATTACTACTTTTCAGCTATAACAAACTAGATCCCAATAACAAAATAAAGTTACTAAAAATATATTGTAGCCCATAAAAAGAGCTACAAAATAAATTAGTATAGCATTAAAATATGCTACAATCATTAAAATTATAGCATCATTTACA